TTGTGCGTTATTCGAATGAACCCTTATTTGAATGACAATCACGAGTGAATAATTAATCATTGTTCGGTTATTCGTGTGGGGAACATTTATTTGATGTTTATTATTCGTCGTTGCTTATTTATAAATTTGATTAATGGCATTTAGGTCTCTTATTTTATACACTTTGAAATTGTTCGAAACAATGAATAAAACATGAGAGATAAATTTTATTTATTGTCTGCGAATGACGAACGTATTAATTATGATTGATTAGATTTACTCGCCATTCTTTGTTTATAATTTTGAATAACTGTTGCCCAATGCTGTATTTTAGAATAGGAAGACTTGTTATTGCAGAAGAATGTTTATATGAGATGAGACGAAAGTAGTATGATGTAAAAATAGATAAAGTCTTGTAAATCATCTTACAATTTAAAAATAGAACTTTTCGGATACTTTAAGAAATTGGAATTTTATGTGTATAATAATAACTATAGAAGTCAGTTTTTAAGTTTTTAAAATTCGAAATTTCATAAATAATTTCAAGTAAACATAAAATTGTCTATTTTCATGGTATAATGAAATATTTTGCATTGTTTAAATTTCTAAATTTATATCACGGAAAATGTGAATGTATTTATGGTCTGGGGTCAACGAAGAAGATCCATGGTCTAAACAACGACCGGTGGTCGTAGTGAAAGTCGGCAACAAAAAGAGATTCACTGAATTTAATTTAGCACGTTCGCTGAAAATAAGGAGACGTCAGTGAGTCATGTCTCGATGCCGCGATCACGAACTGCTAGAATATCCTCTGATATTCGCAGGGAGGGAGAAACAAGAGTTTTTTGCGCTTTCTCGTGATGCAGAACACCAATTCACGGTACATTAAAATAGTTTATGGGCCTTGATAGAACATCAATGGGTGGTTTCTTCGATCCAGCCACTAGAGAAAATGGTTCGTGAACGTTACGAAGCCATTTGAGGAGATTGATATTCGAATTTGCATCGATATTCATGTCAGGAGGTCGACTTGGCGGGCGATCTATCGATCAGTACTCAGAACTCGTTCATTGATGTCTGCGAATGGCCATTCCTAGACTGATTTCTAACGCATTTTTTTCGGCTGAATAGAAAGCACAGTGGGAAGGAAAACCCAATGACCGCTGGACAACACTGCCAGTATCATTTCATCGAACATTCTCTTTGCATAAAGAGAATTTCTATGTGAGTGAACTTTTGTCTGTAGCGATGAATTTATAAGAATAGGAACTCTACAAATGTATTTATTTACCTTCTTAAATGTTTCATGAAAATTGAAATATTATGGATACGGTTTTAGAAGTTGAAATCGAATACAGGCGATTGGAGCAGTTTTATATTCAATTGAATTGATAATGAACACATTTTGACTAAGCATATTATCAATTTTTGGTCATTTTTAATATCATACTCTGACTGGAATTTGTCTATTTTCTCAATTCCATAGTATGTAAAAATTATGAAATGAATATAGTATATTATTATTATTATTATTATTATTATTAAGGCACACACTGGAGAATTTTGATCAATTTTTGATTAAAAATCCTAGCCAAATGATGCAAAGAAAACTAATGATTCGAGGAAATGGATTTCTTTTATGTTTTTAGTTTATTAAATGTTTCTCATTTGTATACGTCTTAAAGACATTAAGTAGATATATAGTTTAGTCAAGACGTGAAATAGTAAATGAAATAATTAGTTGTTATTATTTCAAATTACAATTCATTTAAGTAATAAAGTATTTATAAAATACTATATTATTATAAATTAGAATAACTTAAAGAAAATATGTTTCAATTTCTGCAACGTTAAAAAAAGTTGAATTAAAAATACTACATTAATACATAATTATCCAAGTGTAACACCTGAACAGTTGGTTTATTTTACAGTTCAATGAAATTTCACACTCTAACGGTAACCTGTACGTGTCCCCAAAATACTGTACTCTTCTTAGTACGCCATAAAGTTTTATATTTTTAAGTGATATTTTACGACGAACGTATATACAGTACACGCAAATTCGTAAAATGCAAGAAAGCATACATTAAAAAGCACCTATAGTATTTTCAGTTCATTTACCACGCAGATCTCCCAATTATCGAATCAAATTTTCTCTTATCCCGTCTTCCCTAAAATAACGTATAAAACCAGAAATCAACGTAAAAATCCTGCGTCCGTCGGATGCAAACACATTCCATTTAAATTTACCGTACACTCGTCTCTCCGTTTACGTGAAGTATCCGTTTCACGCGGATTCGTTTTACGCGAATGAAAATCGCATAAAGAGAGTCTACCACTACAAAAATAGAAACAACATTTTCGAAAGAAAAGCTGATATAAGTTCCAGAAATACTTATTTATTTCATATAGCTTAACAAAAAAGATAGTAATAACATTTCAAAAAACAAAAGTCAATTTTATTCTTATTATTATCCTTGTATAGTATAAATTTATTTGTATCAGTCATAAAAAGTATCAGAAATTGGAAAATAGAACCAACAGAAAGTTAGGTGAGAATATATGAAAATCGATCTATCATCCAAATTCCTCAGCTTAGCAATCAAGTGACCTTTTATCAGTACTTCAATCATTTCGCAAGGAAGCGTGTAGATCTTTCCAATAATTATAAAAGAAGAAACCGAGAATAGGTCATTTTGACCTAAATAGTAGTTCCATTATCAAAACTTTCCTAAACAAATGAAAACTGATCAATCATCCGAATTCCGTAGCCTAGCAATCAAGTAATCTCCTATCAGTACTTCAATCATTTTCCAAAGAAGCGTTTTTTGAATAATCATAAAAGAACAAACCGAGAATCAAATGATACTAGCATCAAAACTACTCTGAACAAATGAAAACTGATTAATCATCGAAATTCCTCAGCTTAGCAATCAAGTGATCTTTTATCGGTACTTCATTCATTTCTCAATGAAGCGACTACATCTTTCCAATAATTACAAAAGAAGAAACCGAGAACAGGTGATCTTGACCTAAATAATAGTTCCACTATCAAAACTTTCCAGAACAAATGAAAATTGATCAATCATCGAAATTCCTCAGCCTAGCAGCGATCCCCTAGCAGTACTTTATCGGCACAAACGGTCGAGCGATATCGGTGAACGATTTTCAGCGCGAGCCACCGTACATCTAATAAAGGATATCCGAGCAGAGACGCGCCCCCATGAAACCAGTCTCCCCGGCGAACGATTCCGGCGCGCTCAAAGGAAGGAACCCGTGGTACCCGGAGGAGTCCGCGGCGGGCGCAACCGTAACAAAATAAAGGTAAGGCCCCAACCGAAACGTATGAGAAGACACGCGGCGTTTCCCTCTCGCGAGCCGGCGCGATCTATTCCTGTTCAGGCATCAATCCTCCGGGAGGAATCGCAGCGGCGATCGGCGCGCGGATCGAGTCAGGTCCCCTGGGCCCAGACGAACAATTACGCTGGTTATTCTAGGCAAGTGGAGCGAAATTCTTCGATCCATGAACTAGAGCCCCAGCCTCGTTCCTCCGAGACACACTCGATTGAATCGATTCGCCGGTGTAAAACCGGCTGGGCGTCGGCGGCTGCTGGCCGGCAGAAAGAGACGGAAAGAAAGAAAAAGAAACGGCCGGGGCCGAGGTGGGACGAGGACGGACTGGTCAGTGGCTGAACGGAGAGGGCGAAACGCGAAAGGGGAAGGAGAGAAAGATCGAGGCTCGATCTCTCTGAGTGCCTCTGGCCGCTGGCCTCTCCCCTACCCGCCCACCAACAACCGATCTCCTTCTTCAGTGCCGGCGCCGCACGAGTTTCCTACAGGTGGACTTACAACCTGCCCCACGATTTTTTACCTTCCGTCCACCTTCGTTCGGGCAACGCGTCTCGAGCGTGACGCGAACCGCGATCGCCGGCATCGCCTCTTTCCAATAAATAATATGCGCCCGGCAACCGCTTCTAGGATTCAGCTATAGCGGGACTAACTCACTGGGTAGCGAAACGAGCGGCAGCTTAGACGGTCGGTCTACTAAATGGGCTGACCAGGTATGTAAATATTTCGGTGGAACGTTCTTTATGGGAAAATCAGCGTACGGCCGCGGGAAGTGTGAAGAGATGTTTCGGAGAGGTCGGCTAGTATCGAAGGGATGATTGGCGGTGTTGGGTGGGAAATATTCGGAGGGATCTGTGTTTGTAAACGAGAAGGGCGCCGAACCTTGGTATTACGCACCTGTTCCTCATACCACGTCCCTACCTAAACCTCCTGCGTTCAACCTGCGCGGCATCGCATCGTAGGTACTGGTAGATAGAATACCCGTGGATCTCCCTCCCTCGTTCCTGGTCCCCTTTGCTCTACGTCTTTGTTAGCGATGGGTTCGATCTTGGTGGATCGTGAATCGCTGAGCGAGGATTGTTAGCTTTAAGGAATATTTGATTATTTATGTGGCTGTGGAACATTGAAATATAATCCTCGATTCTTGAAGTAATGGCTGGGTGTAGTGATAAATAAGTCTTTATGACTTCTGTTCACCTGATAACAATATTATCTTGGTTACTAACTGCATGGTATCACTGATGAGTACTTTGTTATTATGGTTTTGTTATATAAGTGAATTATCGTTATATTTATCTTTTTGACTGTTCCTCGACGTCTGGACTTCAGAAATGTTTCAGTTTCTTGGTAACTTTACCTTGGTAGCTATTTACATAATTTCACTGATAATATTTACGGATCGAAAGTTACATTGTTGATTACGAGCGTGAACATTAATCGTATGTCTATGCTACTTGTTCTGTATACTGTCGTAGGACTTCTATAATATATAGCATTATACATATTCTAATCAAATTATCAAACCAACGTTACATGTTTCTATACTATTAAAATAAAGGTAATAACATTACCTTTGAGTCTTCGAGTTTATATTTGTGTGATAAGGCTATATGCGAATTTACATTTTTACCTTCTTCATTATACTACCTTCTAACATAAATTAGTGTACAGTTAAACTCGGATATTAAGTGACTGAAATTTCATTGGCTACCTTTACGTCATTCTGCCTCATTCTGCGTCATTAACTTTGCAATTTTAGTTACAACCAGCTTTCCAACTTCATTTGCAACCAGGCTTCCAACTAGAGTTGCAACTAACTTTCCAACTTTACTTGCAACCAGGTACCCAATTTTATTTGCAACCAGGATTTCAACTTTACAACTAGGTTTCCAACCATAGTTGCAACTAGGTCCCAACTTCATTCATCTCAAGCATCATCCTGGTCCACAAGACACCTTCCACAGCGCCTCAGTGAAATTTGTTCTGTCAGGACCAAGACGCGCGTGGGCATCAGTCCCATCTCTACACCCTGCTCCAGGTTCTCCTGCGTCTTGGTTGGACTCCCATTGGCTGGTTCCATCGGACTCTGTTGCACTGTCGGCCAGGAGCGAGGCAGTCAGCGCACAGCATCCAGCAGCAGCGCTACTAGCGGCAGCCGAACGGAAAGACTCCCAGGCAAGTCGTGGCCGGTTTACCTGTGTACTCGCATGCGTGTGGACCATGCGTGTGCCTCGGCTGCGTGGGTGTGCGTCGAGGTAGCCTACCTGGCGGCGTCCAACACGCAGTAAACCGCGCGCTCTTTCGTATCCACGATCCCGAAAGAGACGTGTGCCTTCGCCGATTCCACAGTGTTTTTACTGGCCGTTTCGCTCCTCCAGTTTCTTGTTCCCACTGGCACACGTCGAAACGCGAGAGAGACCGGGAACAGAGGAAAAGGAAAATAGTGCTTCGCAGTGCGATCCTATTCGCGTGGCCCAGCAGCTTCGATCCGAGATCGTGTTCGATCCGCAGTGCGTTCCGGATCCCAGTGTCGTCAGTGTCGAATCCGTGTATGTGTGCTTACGTGGGTGCTCTCGGTTGGATTCACGATCGAGCGACAGCGAGGCGAGTCCACACGTTGAGGTCAGCAACTCGATGTAGCCGGTCCTGGTATCACGACGAATGCTTCCGCCAGCGATCGTTGGCCAAGTTCGGGAATCACGGGCGGAGATGCGACCGCGGACCAACGGCGCAGAGTAAACGCGTGTTCGGGAAGTGTTCTCGGCCGGCGTCCACCTGGTGAGCATTTTTCTCGTGAACGTGGAACCGATCGGTTCCATCGGGGAACGTGACCGACCAGCGGGTCCACGTTTGTTGCATTCCTGTGGGCATTCGCGATTCCAACATGGCCGCTGGGACTAGCCGTGACCGCTGGGTCCGCGGAAGCCATGTTGGCAGGTGTGCTCGGTTCGAGATAACCAGTTCACGTTCGTGGAACGCACGCGGCTGACAAACGGGAACGGCTTCTATGTATTATTGGGGAATGGGATAAGAAACCGTATGCGATAAGCATCTCGGTCCCTGGATCGATTCGTTGCTGAATTTCGTCTGTTTTCGAAGATCCTACGGCCTTTTGCTATCCACGAGAATTTTATTTATGGATCGCTGATGTTGGAGGATATCATTTAGATCGATTTATCCTTTCACGATTCTTTTTTTAGTTGTTTCACGAATCGTCCGTTTGAGATATGTATTTTTGTTTTGTATCTATGCAGTTTTTAAGTTAACTGGTATGTATTAAGAGCTTTTTTTCTGACACCTTGATGTTTCGGTATTTATTGAGAAATATGTGTTACATTTGGGAGACGGTAATGGTGGTGTAAGGTGCCATGAAAGATGCCATTATTTGGTCCAGGAAAACAACACTCACGACGTTTAATAGGAGACATGGAGTAGCAAGATGGCGGATGTGTTTAATGTGCTTTACACTTAACCTTGTCACGTGGACTTTTTAGTATCGGCAGAATAATTAGAAGCGACAATGTCTTCATATGTTATTGTTATCACTTTCAGGTGCTATCGGTTGAATTTTTTTTAACTCGTTCTTTTTTCTGCGGAAAGAGGGAATGAGGAAGAGTTTAGGTGCATTCGAAATGCTGCCGAAGTCCTTGAAACGTGTTTCTAAGGCATTTCGCAATCAAAGTACACGTTACCAGTATGCAAGAGCGTGAAAGTCATTTTAAAGCTAATAATCTTGCTACCATAAAATGTCGCTGCCTACTGTTCGATTTCGTTTATAAATATTTCAGTTGTTTCTAGCGGAAAGGACAGAATACTTAATGAAATCTTTATATTATCAAAATAATGTTGAGGTGAATATTACTTTCGCTTACCAAGTATAACGATATGGATAATCTGTTTTTGCAAATACTCTTATTTTTCAAACATAGTAATTGTGCTAGAAATGTTAATTTTTCAAACGAAATTTAAATGTCGTTAAAAATATCTACTTGATGGAGGTTCATTTGAAAAATGACTGAATAAATTGCTGTCAATACTGTTTCTTACATTATGTAGTTTTACTATCAAAATTCAGATGAATGTGTTCGCTTGTGGTCACACAATCACCGAGAAAATTATGGAAATGTCACTACAATTTTTTAAAATATTATTAATCGTGTATACATGTTAATTAGAGTTTATTATTAACGCGTAAAGAGAAATATGTACTTCTTTAATTAGTAGGTATAACAAATCAGCTTTTCTTACATTACTTTAATTGATCACTTAAATTCATCACTCAAATAAATGCAACTTACTTGCTTAATTATGGAAACATAAGAACGCCTTATTTATCAGATCTACCTAATCGTAATTATAGTTATGTACTTTAACCAAACAGACAAATACCAGTAACTCCTATATCTTACAATTTTAAATAATTTACATTTAAATTTTAAAATAATTCCCAAAACCTTTCTTCGCATCAATTTACAATAATAAATGGTAAATAGGATCGATAATGCATCTGTCATCACTGACCCATGCTAAATAACAAATTCACCCAGATACACCTCTCGACAAAATGAAAATAACATCAACTTCATAGATCTAAAATAAGTCCCTCAAACGAGTCCATTTTTACCATTACTCAAACCAAGCGTAACGCATGCATCAATACAAACACGTTCACACTCCAAATCGTTATATCATACAACAATCATCACACATCTCCAAAACTTACCAAATTCCAGATAATCGTTAACAGCAACTTCAAAAAACATAAATAATTAACCTAAAAATCATTTAAAAAGTATCGGTACCTGACCATGTGTGTCCACAGAAGACTCTTTACTGCCCACGGAATAGTCATCCTCCACGAACCCAATCTCAATCACCCAAACTCTAAACACGTTAAAGAACCGTAGCGAAATAATTAGGTTACCATGAAAGTTGATCTGAATTATAGGTGTCTTTGGTATGCCGACGGATATCGTGGCGTCGTCGGCCTCGGCCTCGGCCACGGTCTCGGAAGAGCCGAGCAGGGGTCGGGACCCGAGCCTTGGATCATCGTCAAGGTCAGCATCCTCTTCGGCAGGTGCGTCATCCTCAGGATCCGCGACACAATCAACCTCCAGAGGCTTCGACCCGTCTAGCGCCCTGGCTGCTTATCACCACCATCGACATGGCCTGGTGGCGGGTCTGGGTCACCCTCATCACCGCGAGTCGTCCGCGTTCGTACCGGTCGTACCGTCCAGGTTGCACCTGGCGCCTTACCCTGGCGACATGCATCCCCATTTGACTGGTCCGCCACCATCTTCATCCACGACGTCCAGCTCGGACCATGAAGTGGGTGCAGAGCCTTCGGTCGCTAGAAAGTCCTCGTCCAGTTACGAGATCATGGCTATGATGGCAGATAAGAGGAAGGAGCTGGCTGCCAGAGCTCTTCTCCTCCCTCCGCCGCCCCTTTTAGAACCACCCCCAGGGTATCCCGTGTTTGCCGGACCCTTTCCCGCTGGCTCAGCATTATATCCACCCGGTGGCCCATTAGCCCATCAGCATCTGGACAGAAGGTTGCTAAGAGCGCCCGGCAGAGCATCCAGACCTAAGAAGCAGTTCATTTGCAAGTTCTGCAATAGGCAGTTCACGAAATCTTATAATTTGTTGATACACGAGAGAACCCACACAGACGAACGGCCCTACTCATGCGACATCTGCGGCAAAGCGTTCAGAAGGCAGGATCACCTTCGGGATCATAGGTATAGTTTGTTGTTTCGGTGGTTTCGTATTGTAAGACTGTGGTTTATTGTTTTTTTTTACATTGACAAAGTTCTTTGGGATAGACGAGGTTTTCTTGTGATTCTAGTGATGGTAGATTGAGGTGTACTTGAATGTTTAATGAAAAATTAGAAATGGAAGGAATAATTAGAATATGTTTTCTGAAATAATAATCGTTACACAAGCTGAGAGATATTTTATTCTTGAAACTGCAATTGATAGATCTACAATTATTTATTTCGTTTTGTATAATTTGCATTATCTCTCTTCAATTTTTTCATTCTTACTATGACCATTTTCATTTTATTATACATGTAGAAAATCGTTTCATTCGTAGAGCTAATTAAATTTTATAATACATGTGCACAATATAAGTATGTGTGCAATTAACATTTTAATATTTTTTACCTTCTATGTGGAGTTTATTTTTCATTTGCATTTATCAATCAAAATAGAAATTTGGTTATCAATAGTATAACAATGTTAAGATCACCATAACGTTGAGTTACGTTTTCTAATTTTCACTATAGCTTATATTCTAATTAGCACTAGCTTGTATCTTTAGTTATAATTTTTAATTAACGGTATTGTTACGTGACAGTATTACTCGACAGTATTTCTTTAACGAGTTTTTTTCTGTAACAAATATGTTCAGCTTCCTTTTACACTTTCTAGAACTTTATAAATAGTTATTTCCATTACATGCATTAACAAATGTATTGCATTGTTCACAATTTTATAGTTTAATTATGTAAAATATAACAATAGAACAATAAAGTAATCCTCACAAGAATAGTTGCATCAGAAATTGTAAGACAATATGAACAATTCTACCATTAGGAACGTATAGTAAAAACAATCAAGTTTCCGGGAATACACGTTGTTAAGAAAATAACTGGCCAAATTTCGGTACTGTGTTCCTTTGTGCTTAAAAACGACAAAAGGTCAAAGAATAAAAATCCGAAAGTTATTCCTTCCTAAGATAATTCATACTTCTATTTGCACCGATTAAAATACCTGTCAGATGTAGAATTTCGAACATTATTAACATTTCTCATATTAGATACCAATATGCTAGAATAAGTTATATTTTCAATAAAGTTATAGTGTTCGATAAAAAGTCTGTATGAATTTTAGCATTTTATGGTGTACGACATAAAAAGAAGTTTGATCTCAGACAAAAAAAAATCTTTTAAAACTTACATTTATTTTACCTTTTTTCTTACGTAACACTAGAACTACCACACCCGTCACAATGACAAGTTTCAGTTTTCTCATTTCACAATTATTCATATCTCAAAAATGTTAAATATTTGAAACAATTTTAAAAATAAATAATTTCATTCGAATACTGTAATCAATCTGCGAAGAAACCGAAAAGAATCTATTGTTACAATTTTCACAATGCTTATGTATTAATCATATTAATCGATAGTTCTAGCGTTAACAGTAGATTTACGAACTTTATTGTACGGTTTATTCTATTGTTCTTAGAAAAACTGATATTCGTCAGTTTGAAACTTGGAAATTAGGGATTTAAAAATAAACCACTAGGACACATATTCACGTAATTGCATCAATCAAAACAAACACAAATATTTACCAACAAATGTTCATAAAACTTAATTTCCGCCAAATTGACGCGTTCCGTAGACCTAGTGTTAAACGCATTGTAATAAAACACAATAACAAAATTTAACCTATTCCCCCGATACCCAGTATACAACCGAATTTAACGTTTCCATAATTCCACGTTTCCATGTTCCAGGTATATCCACAGTAAAGAGAAGCCCTTCAAATGCGGCGAGTGCGGGAAGGGCTTCTGTCAGAGCCGCACCCTAGCGGTGCACAAGATCCTGCATATGGAAGAGTCTCCGCATAAATGTCCAGTCTGCGCCCGAAGCTTTAACCAGCGCAGTAACTTGAAAACCCACCTCCTCACTCACACGGATCACAAGCCGTACGAGTGCACCTCCTGCGGCAAGGTGTTCCGCCGAAACTGCGACCTCAGGAGGCACGCGTTGACCCACGCGGTGGGTGACGTTCCACCCGAGGCCTTAGAGGAAGCCCTCAGGGACGACGATAGTCCCGAGGAGGACTGTCCAGAGCCAGGATCATCGACACCGACGTCGATGTCCACGAATTCTGCCTTGCCAGCTGCATCCACCACTTCTTATCCCCCTCAAGGATCTTCGGGTCCACCGCAGCCACCCCCAGCATCCACGTCCTCTCTTCCCCAGAGACCTCAGCTTCAAATCAGAAGAGACCTCTTGCCTACCACGAAACCGTCCACGGTGACAAGCGGAGGAATCGGTCACACGGTTCCTCAGAACCCACCACCTGCGCATCCACCACCGCCGCCGTTGATTTTGACCTCGTACAGACGAAGAATCGGGTCACCAGGTCCCTCGCGGGTGCTTCTCGAGCTACAGGAGCGCGAGAGAGAAAGAGAACGGGAGATTGAGCAGAGCAGGGAAAGGGAACGCGACAGGGAACGGGAGGAAGAGGTGACGCGTCCACCCAGGGCGCCCACCCCTCAGCCACCACCTCCTCCTAGGCCTGCCCCTGCGAGACAGGGATTCACCATAGCGGATATAATGCGCCGGTAGAAGGGAAGCGGAAACGGTGGATGCCAAATGATCGTCTGTTGTGAACATTGGTTGGCTGTTCGAGAAGGACTGGTTTATTTGGAGTGAAACGTGTCATGGGTATCATTTGGGTCGCTGAAGTGATGGTTTCGGTGAATTGGATTTTTTGTATTGCATCGAAGAGCGGAATCGAGAGTCTGATCGATGAGTATATTTATAGGCTGAAGTTCGAATAGTGTAGATCCGTGGTTTTGAATATTGAGCTTGGAGGTTATGTTGGTCAGGAGTATGATACTTGAGTTTATTGGAAATATGGTATATGTACAAATGATTAGTAAAGTTACGAGGTTATCGCAGTTTTTGTACTTTTGTATTATATTTGTACTTCCTTCTTAACGGAGTTCGTGTTTATTAAAGTGGAGATTATTGATTTACTTCCTGAATAATTCACCTACCCATTTGGATTTGAAATTTCATGTTTGAAATGTTTATGTAGACGAAGAATTTGTATGAAATGCGAGTAAGAATTCGTGTAAATATTCGAAAATATAAGGGAGGAGGAAAATTACTTGTGTACCTGGAGAAATATGTTTGTTATGATGTTACTGTATTTAAATATGTAACATTTCGAATGTTATCCATTTAATTATCATGACATTAATGCTCGTCTTTTACAAAAGTACTGATGTAAGTCGTAAATAACTTTCAGTTGTTTTAAAAGTAAAATACTTCAAATTACATTAATCTATTGAATGATCTGTATTTTTATCGGTTATGGGAATTATTTGAAGTTTAAGTTAATTTTTGTAGTTTATGTTGCAAGGTACACGAAATCAATCGTACGTAAATAATATGTTAACTGATCTCATACTGTTCACTGTTCACATGTTTTTTAATCAATTTTTTTTTACACCAGCAACTATTGACATCAGTATTAATTTTTGTTTAAGAATAACAAAGAAATTTTTTAATATTATGTTATTCATCTTATTTTGATATTATACGATTGTAATTTTGTAATAGAATTGACAAATTTACTACTAATGACAAAATTTCTATTATTTGACAATCATTGGTATCAAGAGAGATTATTAAATAAATTTGATTATGTGAAATGTTGATACTAATATAAAACTATAAATATCGTTATGTAAAATTTACTGTTGTTGACACCATTCACGGGGATTTACGCTATTCAAATTTCCAAGCTTTTATATTAGAACATGGATCAGACGGAATTATGTAACAAGAAATATCACGGTATAGTAGAAATATTATCACAAAAGTAGAGTAACACAATTTTATAACGAGTACATTTATAAATAATGTAAAAATTACATTTTTGATTCTATTACAACTTCGACCAGAAAGAAGTTGAATAATGATATTGTAAATAGTAATATTAATATTACTATTATTAACTGTTATAATTCTGTACAAAGTTAGAAGTGGTAATCACCATATGCAATGTTAAGCTTTATCACCTTTTTATATAAAAACCAAGTTTTTAGCTTTTCATTAAGCATGTGATCTTTACGAAAAGAAATTTATAAAAACAAACAAGAAAACTATTGTCTATTACAGAATATCTTTTCACATAAATTCTTTGGTGCCCATTAATTTTGTTATTCATGGGCATATTAATGTGCAAATTATAAGTCTATAAAGACCAACAACAAACTTGGCATGTTACTTTGTTTGTATTTCGTTATTGTTAATTTACAAGAATATTTGTATTATTCCGTGGTGTAAACTATATTCTAATTGGTAATTGACGATTCTGTGCATAACGTCCACGAAAGAAGTAGAGCAAGTAAAAGCAGGTTGGAAGAGTACAATATAGATAGTTAAAAACATCGACAATGATGAAAATGTATTAGTGCCTTAAGATGATATTTTTGTATATAAAAACGAATATTATAATTCAGTTAATACTAGAATATTGAACTTTCATATCTATAGCTGCCAGTGTGGCCATAATGATTTTCCATGGCTTGGAATATCGATGAAAATATATTCTTTAATTTTTTACTACACTCGACTGTTCCAGTTACGACACAGAAATGTATAAACAAAAGTTAAGTGTTTCACTGGATCGAGTTATAAATTACTTCCACTGGAAAATGTGAAAATTTATGAAATTACAATCGAGTAACAAAAATAATATAATTTCATAACCTATAACAAATTGAACAGTGACGATTATACACACACACCAAAAAGGTTTTTGTACCATTATTAAAATCAATTACATTAATTATGAAGTAATCCATTTCTTTTTCAATAGATTGGTAACAATATAATCAAATTCGAAACACCTGCGTTATTGTGCATAGGTATTTAAAATGACAGTGTACTGAAAAACAATTTTTTTTAATTAAATACTTAATTTAGTTAAAGTCTAAACCATTCTTTTTCGAATTGGTCACGAAAGTAATCAGGTTACCACGTAACTTATGGTGCAATTATAACTCATTATTTCAAACATCAAAATTATAAATGGTACAAAACTCTTCTTGCCATTTTTATATCAGACCATTATCAATTGCAAATCGTTTTCTGCGAAAACGACAGACACACCTTTTATAACTAGACTGCAGATGATCATGCGTTCATAGCATATTTAATTCTAAAAAAATCAGTGCAATACGTATCACAATAAAATTCCATACAATTCTCACAATATTTAAGAACCTTGGAATACCATGAAGAAAACGAAACTAAAAATGTCATGAACATCCACAGTTTATTTATAAAAATTACAACAATCCAATCATACTCGAGAGGGAAAGAAAGCTAGCATTCTTCTCTATTCTTTCCTCAAAAGATCATTGCAACTACGGTTGGGAGATGACTTGGTGTCTAGCAGAACAGCGCAGCAGCAATAAGTGTCTCTCTACTTCACAGTTTTATAGTTTCAATTGATTATGTGCAACCAATCAACCATATTTAATCTCACAGATCACATCTATTTAAAGTTTAAATTCAGTTTGATGTCATTTCTACCCCAAAATCATTCGCTTTACCGGACTCATAAATAGTAAATTATCAATCTTAAACATCAGGAATTGGCGTATAAAACCAACAAAAAACTAAACGAAAAAAAAATGAAAAATCAGCCGAATTCCTCTGGCTAGCCATCAAGTGGTCTCCCAGCAGTATGCACCAGTACTCGTGACGAGAAGAGACTCACGATGATACGAGAGGTTCCTAACAGAAAATCGATTTTAAGAGCTCCCACAAAGAAAAAGAGGAAGTGAACGGTCCACAGAACACCTCCTTTGTCCAGAATGTTTCTAGAAGGTAGCAATGCAGATTTCGTGGCCGGGGGAACAACCTGTACCGCCGGTGCTACGGTTGACAGGTGCAATAGGGTGTCGATGCTACTTGGTTTCGGTACCTGCTCCCTTCTAAAAATACTCCCTGACCCTAGACGAGCATCCCCCCTTCATCTTCTTCTTTTTCCACTCTCCTGCTGGGGAATCATTACGAATCCTTTTGTGACCCGAGACGCGCCTTCTAACCGCAACGCTGATCCCCTCGGTTTTACTACCGGTCGAAGCGCATCTTCTTTCGAATGGATTTCGAAAGGAGCGAAGGGCGAAGGCGGGGCAGCGGGGGAGGAGTTGTCTGTGGAATTCGTTCGATCCGCTCCTTCTGCGATTTTACGCTGCACGCCGAGTGTATCCACCCTCCGAGTGGAATCCTGGTCTCCGAAAGGGATTATCTGTCGGAACACTTGGGTGATATCATTCGTGACTAGGCTTACGAGAGTTCTATTATCGCCGGAAGTTGTGTCCCCTGAAGAACGGAGATTCGGAGCGCGAGCGTGTCGAAGTATTATTTTGTTGCGAATGACTTTGAGCTTGAGTTTGTCCGCGTGCCGAAATTATTTGCAATTTAATGTCATTCGCTTTGTTGTAACGATCAAGTATAAAGCTTGCGTACACTTGTTGTATTGAGATATCGTCAAATTCCGGTTTCATCTGAGTAGTATAATCATGGATTTTTTCACTGAGTTTTCGTTGCTTCCCTTTGGCAGAAGTGGAAAGAAAGAGATTTATTTTTAATTGGCGTGATAGCGACGTAATTCAAGATGGGTGTATTATAATAAATCGTTGAATCCTTGTTCTCTGGTTAATGAGTGAATTGAGAAGCTTTGAAATCGTTGTCAGTCACTAAGGAAATTATTTTGTGAATGGTATTCGTAAAGTTTACGAAACCTGCGGATGGTTTGGTTTTTGGTTAGGTTATGGAAAAAGAACGATAAAACCTGATCGAGAATGATCGACTGCGAGCTATGGCGACGTTGTAATTTTTATTAGCAGATACACATGCGTTAATGTAGGAATGAAATTCCCTGTGTGTGTGTGTGTGTGTGTGTGTGTGTGGTTATGTGTTCGAACGAGAGAATGAGCGAAACGCGGCGAGAGTAGAGGAGAGAATTAAAATTATTTTGTACTATTTTTAAACGTATCTAATGTATAGTGATACATGGAAAAATGTACAATATATACTATGTACAATGAGAACCGTCCGCAGGATGAACTGAGAATTCGCGGACGTCTCAAGTGTCCTGTTATTTTCTACCTTATCAGTTTACGTCTCGCACGAGCATCTATATTTTTAGATACATATGACAGTTAAGCAAGTTTGTAAATTATATTAAGAAGAATAGAATAAAAGATATAAAAAATATTAATGATTGATGTGTGCGGAATTCCTGTCAGTGCATTCGGTTTGTACGTGATTAGACGATTCAGTAAGATCAACGAAAATTGATTTGTGGAAATAGTACTGACATTAACAGACGTTCCTAGTTTTATACATTTATGGATGAATTATAGTTTTAGAACAATAGGACAGAATTTGACAGACAATAAACGGTTCTGAATTGTTTGTGTAAATGTAAAAACCAAATACGCATAAATAGTTTGAATTGACTGTATGACAGGTTTACATTTTACAAAATTTAGCCTTCATTGTCCGAGACAAACATATATCTTCTCTTATTAAAATTTATGTATTTATATTTTGAAGTAACATTCTCTTGAATAGACTGCACTTAGGAGGTATGAAAAACGAAAGTTGATGTATAGGTTATTTTTTCTTTTTTTAAATATGATAAAAATTAGTCGTCACATAAATCATTACATTCATAACTTATATTAATAAATATAATGTTCTGTAACCCAATAAAACCGGTATTCATCAGACTTGAGTTGAATGTGGCAGAAAAAGAGCTCAGAGGGTACATTAAACAAAAAGAAGAATGCTTTAATCGATTTAGAAAATATCTACATTACCAAATGTAAGTAAATACATACAGTAGTGAACACGTTCAAGAAATTATCTGTGCTGCAGTGAAAGATCAAGCTCAATATAGGTATAAGGTTATGTACAGTAGATATCAGGTTACCTGTCAGCCAGACATCGAAATTTTAACACCGACGGGAGATCAGATATACTGAACACTCAATGTAAAATTCTGTCACATACTCTCTATTTTCGTGTCATGTCCTATCATATCGACTTAGGCAGGTTTTGCATAGCAACGCTATCTATAAGTGATAAAAATCGGAATCAAAATTATTCAAATTTTAAATGTTTATTAACATAGTGTTGCGGATATAAAACATTTTAGAACAATCGGATAAACAGTTACCAAAACAGCTTTCAATGATCTAGGTCCTATAAAACAATGAAAAATTTATTACATACTTAATTATGAGAATACATGCCCGTAATACGATAAAAAGTGAAAACATTGTTGCTGTATTTACAGTTAACGTTAAACGCGACATACAAGGAAACCCTATCCTACCTAACAAATAAATCAACACATGCTACTACTCTCGAGTATGCCTTGCGAGGCATATCCGAGGTCGCTGTAACAAAATCAAAAACTACTAAAATGGTATCATCGGTCATCGGTGCTGTTACGGACTTTTCGTTCTACGACATGATCGGTGACTGGAGTGAAAGGAAAGAGCATCCAACTCACCGATTGCTGTTGGCAATCGGCAGATAGCTCTCGTTGAGCTGGGGACCACAGGTCAGCACGGATCTGCGTTGATCTCGACTGGTGAGTTGTGGTCGCTAGCTATCGTTAGGTGTCACTAGCTGTCACTAGTGGCCAAGGGTGGAGGATAGGAGCAGACCACTGGTGACCAGGGAGGTCTAGAAGGGACTAAGAAGGTTCAAGCGATCTCAGGAGCAACTACTGATATACGACGGAGAAACCCGGTCCTCAGAGTTCAAAATTTCGCGAAAAACTGAGCTTTCTGCTGTCGAAACTGTTCCTTTTATAGGTAAAGGTTGCCGATGTCAGTCGCGATATTCTTGACTTCGTCATCGAAAACAATACCTCGTTTAACCGTCTGATCGTTTAACTATTTGATGAATTTTTCATATCGGCAACACTGTGTTGATTGTCATTTAAGATTTTAGACTTTTAATTCTGCTTCCGACTTCCTATAGAGCTGCTATGCAAACTATTAACCATAAGTTATATATCTTTGGTCTCGTTTCTCATCTGTGGTTTAAGTCTGAACACTGTCGATAACATGCTTGATATAGGAATAGAAGGAAATGTACTTATCTCTTATTGGTGAGTAAAAATATTTAATTTTGTTGATTATCAAAAAAATATTATTAATAAAGTAACAGTTACCATTGCAGCAGTGAAATATATTAGAATTGCTAGTAGGATAATTGAAACTGGAAATATGTTAATATATTTACGTTCGTAGCTCAATGTAGAAACTTTGTTATCGTTGGTAGATACATATTGTCTCGTATTTAAAATTAGCTACGCTGGACCAACAATAAATGAAATTTATGTCGGATTATATATTCCTATTAATTCATTGTCACAAACAATTGATGCAACATTAATAGTGTTATTAATACTGTGATAAGTGTTATGTTAAAAAAACATTTAAGTATTTACATAAAACTGTCATAACTTAACTGGAAAATATTGAATCACCAAAATAATGTACTAGTAATTTTGCATCTTTTAATATTTTTCTAGTTGCAATGTATTAATTGATATTGTTATAACTATATAATACTGAAAGAAAACTACACGCATAATTGTGGTTTATGTTGCCTAGAAAGAGCAATGAAAAGTTTTCCACGAATATATTTATATTATATATTTATACTATGATTTATTATTCTTTACATCGTGTAATTAATATACCGTACATCGTGATAATTAACAAGCTAATATTATTGAGTGATATAAAAAAATAGAATGTCTAAGCAGTTTCATGGTACTTTGAACTGTAATGACATGAATTCCTACAACCTGGACGTGGATTCAGATACTGGTATATTTGAGCAATATTCCTATAAAGTTGTTTTAACTTTATTTACATTTGGAAATAAAATATTTAATGTAAATTAACACTATTAGATGATGTTAAATAATAATGTATATATTGTGTACTATATGAATGTATTATAAACACTCTTTAATAAGCATATATTATATTGTACATAATGTTACATTCAAGGAAAGTTAAATTTTTGTTTCACAGTAGTTAGAATACAATTTTCGTTAAAAATATTATAAACATATTATATACATCAAATTAAAAATATTGTACAATTAAAAGAATGGTTAAACAAAACCGTTTCCTTCGATACAACAATATAAAAGTAATTGAGTTGAAATGCTTATGCACTCTTTTATAATTGAAAAATGTTATTAAATGCAATGTGTACCCAAACAATTATTGTTGTTTAACCATAAATTACATAAGCTGGAAGTTGATCAGCAATTAGTCAGTTTTACGCTTTAGTCTGAGCATCTTTAACAAACCGTATAATAAATCTTCTATCTTTCAAAAAGTGTGTTTCCTGACAACTTAATATCTCTCACGTAGACGATGAATTCATCATACATTGGAGGTTTGAGGAACAATGTAGTCTCAATTGAATTTCCATTTATCATAAGACTAGTAAGACTAGTTGCTTAAACGAAATTATTTTGTTTCTGAACCCGAGAAAATACAACATAACGCTAATATTATGGATACTTATATATTTATGAAATATTTGAAGGTGACAAACTGTAAAGAATGCAGACGATACGAAAAAAGATATAAAACATCCAGTGTAGTGCTTTTTATAGTGTTTCATGGACAGAACCATTTATATTGTAATTTCGTTTTTGTAATTATATTCTTAGACATTTGAATTTCTAATAAAAGAAAAATCTTGATAAAGAATCATACACACTTGATAGAAAAACCACAACTGAATATTTCGATAACCTAACCTTGTAATTCCATGAAAACGCGGTAAAATCACTTAGTTAGAAATAAACAAAGTTAAATTTGATAGTAGAAGGAAAATCCAGGATTTTAGTCTCATTGTAACCATCATAAGAAGTAGGTGCGGCTGATTGGTTATCTCATTAACCGTTTACTCACAATTGTTGTCGGACTTGTTTCGTCAGATTGAGTGCTTTATATCTTGAAAGACATCTTACGCCGTTAAATTTTTAGTCATATTGTAAACAACATTATCTTAGAAATAATTTTTCTAAACGTAGACTTTTAAGCATTTCTTCATTTCTGCTTTCCTTATCTTAAATGAAATGAATTATTCAATCCACTTGTAACAAAAATAAATGGCTACATTTTCAGCGATTTTTCATGTAAATAATTATTCGTGTCAGAACAAGAACATGGCTATTATATCAATGTCTTTATTGATGCATACCAGTATCAGTGCATCCTGAACACCCGATGAAACCAGTTACAATAATGACAACACGTTGGGAACACTTTACTACTGTGTTTACATCCGAAAGCCTCAAATCACGATAACTATTTACTTTATCATTATCAATCTATTAAAACAGTTACTTTGTATCATAAAAATTGATAAAAAAAATATTCCCATCAAACAAAAACAATCAAATGCATTCGTATCCATCGAACTCTATTTCAATTCTCCATAAGCTTGACACGATAGTACAAGACATAGGGTTCAAACACAATAGATCACGAGGCAAAGGCTTAATATTCGAATAGCATAAGCACTCACAAAGAAACACTTCAATCAAACTAAAACAATCGAACAGCAATTCCAACCCGTCAAACCCTATTTCAGATCCTCATGAGCTTGACGCGATACTGTCACACATAGGGTTAAAACACAGTATATCACGAGGTAAGGGTTTAATATTTGAGTCCGCCGCGGTAAACCTCAGAAGAGCGGCGTTTGCATGACACCGGCCAATAAACGCTGACCTAAGTCACTCATACACGACAGCCGGCTTCAAAGCGAGCGTCTCGTTGCGTCGCCCCGCGTTTCAGCGGTTCCACAGTTTCCACCCGGCGAAGCGAATTTCGCGGCGTGAAATGGTGCGGCGCGCATGAAACGGCCGAAACAATATTTTACTTTCGATACGGATGATCGTGATCCTGCCGGGGCGAAGCGGTGCACGGCGCTGTTCGTTTTACGAGCGGTTCGCGGCTGACTTTATAGTACAGGGAGGTGGCTAAAAATAGACAAATAATCTATTCCGGCGACACGTCGTTACACGCCATGATAAGTCCTGTGTCGTCCCGGTCGTTGTTCCTCTCCTTCGGCGTTCGCGCCGGCGGCGGTGAGTTCCTGTGAAAATTTCGGCGTAACTCAAAAGCTGAAGTCAAACATGGGCGTGTTTCACGAGGTGTCTCGGTAAATCCGGTAAAGCGCCGAAGGCAAATCCCTCTTCCGTCAGCGGCGCGCGACGAGCTAAATGCATGGCAACGCGTGTGCGGCCCGCACACCACTACCGACGAAAAGTATGGTAACCCTTTTTCGTCCTCTCTTAGAAAGAACTTCTTCTTTCACTTGTAGGGATAACACTTTTGAAGTCGCGTTGCTTCTTTTGCCTCGGTTTGTCACCGGTCTACGGTGAAATGAAAATGTTTCCGTGAACTCCGTTTAACATTAACACTAGAACTACCGAGCATTCAACCGTTTGCACTCGATTTACTTTCAGTGTTGTTGGGTGTAAGCTTGTATTTATTGTTAGGGGAATAAGTTAACGTCATCTACAGGCGTAGAATTCAACGTTTCATGTTTATTTTATTTATTATTATTGGAATAAGATTTATTTTACATTGTCATCTTCAGTACGACATACGAGTGCAAAGGGTTAATGAGATTGACACGCAATCCCTATGAAAATTGTGACGATAGATTGTTTAGAGTTTTTTCAGATATTCTTATAGTATTCAAGTGAAACTATTTATTTTCGAAAGCATTCTGAATATTCAATGCTTTTAACAGTAAACCTACCGCCACCGGTCAAATGACAGGTTTTAAAATTTAATTAAAAATCTTTTTCATCCATTTGACTTTGTATCAATTCTTATATTGTCATTAGTTTATCAGTTTTTATCTTTCCTTTTGTTTAAGTTTCTACTAAAAAAGTTGCTCGTATAATTCGTTTACTTTTATTTTATGATTAATTACTTCGTTGCTTACAGTGGAAATTGCAAAATGCGAATGGTAGTTCAAGTGTTAATAAATATATAATGTATAATATGTAAACATAAAAATTGAATTGACAGGACCGAATAACATACGACATGCAACTATAAATCGATAAAATACAAAACAAGTAAAATTCATTCGCAACATTTTACATCGATTGTATTATTATTCATACAACAACCAGATCCAAGAAAGTAAAGTATAATTATTGATAACAGATTAATAATATTTAATTTGAATTCACAAAAATTCAGTAATACTTACACTAGTTGAATTCTGTTTAAAACCTTCACGAGTCTGACACGTTGTTATAAGGCAATGAGTTAAACATTATTTGGTAACAGTTACAGTCGATTTTAATTCATGCGATTATACGAATACGCATTATAATTCCCTGGAAGCTATAATTTTCACAATCTATTTGAACATGTAGTTTTCTAGGAACAATAGAATAAGGTGTAGAAAAAACGTCCGTGAATTTAGCGTTAATATTAATGTTAACACTGAATTTTGATTCTGGAAACACTTCGTTGTATTATTCCTAGAAAAATAAGTGTCTATTTGTGTATACCTTAGAAATTGCTTCGAAAACTGAGAATTAGGATACGTATTTACATGACAAAATATGTAATTAAACTGAATATTTTTGTACTTTTATACGTAATTCTTAAAATGTTAGTCTTTGCGTAAAGAAATTTAGTACTCACCGATAGTTAATAGTGTCACGTTACGTCAGCGGCTGCGAATGCGTTAAAATTGTTGTCGGAAGTGCAATGTCAGATGGATCAGAAATCCTGAATAGTCAACATCCAGACATAACTCGTTCCGTTGCGCAAGTATTAACACGCTTATTGTCTCTAGGTCCATAAACACAGATCTACGGAGAAATTATAATCCTTCCATGGCAACGTGTGAGCTTCCTTTTCGGGTTTCCCGTTCTCTAAATATAGAGAAACTCTTTGATTAATTATGTATGCACTACCTGTGACTCACGAGTTCCAGAAATATATTGAACGTCAATCTTAATGAATTTGTTCAAGTTTATAAAATAGACAAAGATATGTGGAGAGTTTTTAAATTCGGTGTAATGAAGCAGGCATATTTAAGAATAGAAGTTACAATTTCGAATATCGTTTTTTCGTGGCAAATGTTTTAATAAGCAGTTTCTTCAGATTTCTAGGTTGAGAAATGTACTAACATGAAATATTTATTTATGTATACAAGATATTATATATGAAAGCAGTTTCTATAATTTTTGAAATATTTCAAGCCTCATTGAAAATTGTAATATTTAATTAGAAGTTTTAAGTAAACCGCTTTTCTTTCACCAAGAAAATTATTAAGTGTACACGTGTACTATTCTTTAGAAATACTGCATCATTTCCTTATTCTTTAATCGTTTGAAACTTAATTAGAACTAATCACTATTTGATATAATATTAAGAACTAAATCTTACTGTTTACTTCATGAAAAATTAGTGTAAAATTTTGTCTCAAAAAATCTAGTATTATTCCATTACTTACAAAATAAGCTATAATTTAAACAAAACATAAATATATAATTATAGTTAATAAAATCAAAGATAATATTCTTATATTTAATCACATGAACTATACATTATAAAGAAACAGTCAAATTTTTGTAATTTACTCTATACTTAAACGCGTTTGTCGCCAAAAATTGTTAAATATAATTTTTTATTTACGTTACAGAACACACTAACCACTATCAGAGTAAATAATCTTCTACCACGGATTCAATTACGTCATTTACAACTTGTACCTCGCGTCTGATTAGCGAATCATCGAATGCATTGCCGTGTTCCCGCGAAACCAGATTTGCTCCGACAAGGAAATTGCACGGAAACCGCGTTTACCGAGAGATTCATGTACACACGGATGTCGAAATACCGAGATGCTGTCTGTATTCGAGAAAATAACACGACATTAGGAAGTAACAGGAGATACTTATTGTAAACAGCATTGCTGAGTCACTGGGTTCCCTACCACAGAAACAGTTACCTGTAAAATTTATCCAAAAATATCACAGACACGTCTTTCTAGCTGGAGTGTAATTCACAAATTACTTGGTATTCGTTTCAATTCATTGCATTCAAATGAATATGAAATTCTGGATTTACAAATATGTCTTGTTTTATTCAATCTATAAAGTAGAACTTCTTTTCTATATATTTATTGAATGATTATAAAACAATACTTCTATGATAATTATTAAAATTTTATTTAATTTTTTGTACGAGTGATCATTATAGTAATAAAGATAATAAATATTATTTGCATACTTAAATTATATTATTCAATATCATTTATGTATTTATATAAATTCTATTCATACGTTTAATAGACATATTATTAAAATGTTGAAAATTAAATGTATTATTTTTTAAACATTCATTAATGAATTCTTATAGGGTACATCTCATCTATCGGTCTAATATATATTGTATCGAATAAATCTAATTACTTGAAACGATTCATATAAATAGATAAAAAACACTTTTTACCACAAATAACAGTTTTATTTAAACCGCGTGAGCTACATATTCAAGAAGGTTTCGTTAATTCTTTAATTTAGATCTAAAACTGTAGAATACGAATTGTTAAATGCAATAAGTTGTAGATGATGAGATAATATTCTCAGAATTTTAAATGCACTCACTTGAAATAGAATTCGTGACATTTATAACCTTTCCTCTTATATTCTCGGAATAATTGAAACATCTCTATGACTGTGTCCTTATCTTGGATAGAGCAGCTCTCGCCTGATTGTGTCTGTTGTAAATGCTAACTGGAATTATTAATAATAGGACGTTTTCACCAGATATATGAAGCATGACAATACAGATTAAACGTTATGCGTTATCTCTCTGTGCGTATCTGGACGGCTCAACAAAAGTGTTCCTTCAATCAGCAAATAAAAGGCACACCTATGCTTCTTATCTCCCTTTGCGTCGCTTTGAGAAAATTTGCATACAAGGTAGACAGTAACTAATAGTTAAAACTTAGAATGAACATCTTTTTTTATACATTTCTTATTAATAGACATTCAGGTTTAATACCAATGAAAAAATTGGTGGAAACTTAAAAATCTTCGTTTTACAAGCCAAATACTTAAAAATGAGAAAATCAGATTTGTCTCAAATTCTGAGGGGAAAAACTGATAGTTAACACTTAGGATCAACATCTTTTTTTCATTAATTTCTTATTAAGTGACATTCAGCTTTAATATCCATGAAAAACATGTTTGAAAACTTAAAAATCTTCGTTTTATAAACAAAAAACTGAAAAGTGAGAAATATTCAATAAACCGCAAATTTTTACAATGCCGCGCGTGACCTTATATAAATTATAAATAAACATACTAAACTTCATGTGGGGAAGGTCACGAGATAAAAATGATAAAAACTTTTTATTCAGCCAACAACTATTTAATGTACTACTTTATTCTATTTTAAATAGTTTTAAATAGCTTAAATAATAAGTCAGGTTTATTATTTACAAGTGATTGTGAATGCAACTTAATGAATGTTTCGATATTGTTAATAAATATGATGACACAATGATGTAAATTGCGATAAAATTTGTAATAAAACGCAAAATAATCTTAAAGCGAGTGAGAATAATTAAGGAAGGTTATAATAGACTCTTTTAATGTATATTGTACATAATACATTGTATAAATATAAATATAAATTGTACATTAACACCATTTCTACTGAAGGTGTCAAAAGATATCTTTCGAAATTTTAATTTAAAATTATTTTCTCAGTTTAATCATTTTTTCTCAATTGAATTTTGGACATTTCCTGTAGTTAAATGTATAATTTTTATTGAAAAAGTCGAAAAGTCAATTCAGAATACACGACTAAACTTAGCGAATAATATCAAGTAAACATTTCAGGTATCTTTCGACATCTTCGGTAGAAATAGTGAAATTATATAGTAAATTTGATTTCTATACATACAAATAATTAGTTGATACAACGGTATACTGAAATCATCACTAATAATTAAGTCACTCAAAAACCAATGTGGTTAAATTCATTTTTCGATATTCTCTGATTTTTGTCAATCTTAATGGAATAAATAATAGCCTTTTTAGTTATTAGAGGATTTACTCGTTTCTTGTGTGTTCTAGGTAGGAAAGCCCTTCTTTTCATAGGTTTCGAATATGTTGTATAATAATTTCAGAAACCGTAACATTAATTTTCGCAATTTTTCTTTTCTGAACGACACAATTCATGATTAGAAAACATACTGTTACATAAACAAACAAAAAGAAGGTGTTCCCAGTAGATCCTTCCAAATTTCGATTGACGCTCGAGAAAGGCTTAACGTTTGAGTTGGCCGTGTGAACGAGGGTGGAAGATCGTCAGTGAAAGCAGAGCTCCACGGGTCGCTACGGTGGTCGCAATAACCTTAGTTCCCTCGTACGTTTGCGGGCGTAGCATTATAACGTGTGCACGTTGCATACTTATGTGGCCAGCACAAGGTGCGGCCTTAGTCCACGATTCTTGTCGGGTTCGTCCTATGCCCATTATGCCAGCGAACTGTTCGTGGTGGCTTTCTGTGGGCACTCGATTAAGCGACGTTCATAGCACCGTTCCATCGTTTAACCCCTGCGATCCAGCCGAAAAAATGATTATTAGATATATTAATATTTGGCAGATTATGTTCAATCAAAATTGACATCCAATACGAGCAAAAATTTTAAAATAATAATGCAACCAATGCTGTTTTTAAATAAAACATTTGTATTGTGTCTATGCAGAAATCGATAATTCTCCAAAAATTGAATTTGTGAAGAAATTTTTCTTTTTAGGATTTAGATAATCTTGTAAGGAAAATTTGCATAGAAATAGAATTGGATGTACGTTGAAAATTCTACAAATATTTCTCAATCAAATTTAAGAAAATTTGCAAACTGTAAGAATTAATATGTAAACACGATGACTTTGCGGGAAGAAATTCGGCATGAAAATGGAGTGTTCTGTAAACATTTTCATTTTGAAGACAAAATGATAGTAAAATTGCGATATATTTTAATACGCTTGATAAAATAAAGCACTTACCTATCAACCAAATTAATATTAATAATAAATAGAGCCTCTTCTATTTTCAATTATCCCCATCATCCGATTCCATAATGTTTTGAATAACATTTTTCATTTATTTTATGACAAACTGTATTGTAATGGCTTTTTTTAATTTGTGAATACTTTCAAATTATTCTTCATTTCTATACAGTGCACATGTCTTTGCAAAGAGTACTGCAAAATATACTTAAACAATTTTTTCTGCATGGATAAAAGCATGATCGTGTATTTACTAATTTGTTGTCTTATTAATTTCAAATATCCACCTGCACTACTAATTATCCCTCGAATGAACTGTATTCTCGTCTTACCATTGTATTCCAACCCATACTAACAAACCACTGCCACTTACTTGAAGCTGAATTTTTTTCTTCTCATAAATCATAATAATAGAAGACATTCTTCAAGTCCATCGAAATTGATTTTATTTTCATCGGTGAATAGAACCTTCTTCCATTTCTTTTTCCAATGAACTCGTTGCTTTGTAAGTTCTAAACGAAACTCTTTATGTTGTTTAATCAATAGCAGCCTATGTTTAATTTTTATGTATAATTTTATATATATTCTATAATTTTCCATCATTTAATGTTCCCACACTTCTGAAGAAGAAACATTCCTTCCTCTTAAATTCGAAATTATTCGAATGATTGCCTTTTCTCCTCTGTTGGTTAATGTTTTTGGCCTATCACAGCTTTTTCATAAATAGATAAAATAAGAAATGAAAGCCATAATTTTCAGGATCTTTCATTACATTATAAATTATTTTAGGAATTACGTGCAATCTTTTTGAAATTTTGGATACTGTTAAATGTTGGTTCCTTTAGCTCTAGAATTTTCACAATCTCTGTTCCACTCAACCTTTTTCCACGACCTACATTGACGATTACTTATTATACAAAGCATGTCTAGCTATTAGTTTAGAAATTCACATACTTCTAAATAGTTTCCAAAACAATGCTTAGGTATGCTATCAGTTCGCCTTCAAACATGTTTACATTGTGTACTATACAAGAAAATGAGAACGGATCATATTAACACCGAATTTCTTCTTATAGAGAGCTCACGTTTAGATATTTCTTACAGTATGCAAATTCTACAGTACCATTGAGAAAATGAAGATAACATACGTGTGCTATAATTTTGTTCGAAAGTGTAGTGTTCAATTAGGAAAATAACGATTTTGTGTGAATGAAATAAGTCGAAGTCAAGGAAATATATTCTGGTTTCAGTTAGCCGTTTAAACAGAAAACAGTAATATTTTTATTTGAAATCATTTTGTTTTAAATTCGCAATCTGTTTTAAATGAGATACTTATTACTTCTGAATTTTATTGTCATCTGTGTAATTATGAGGTAAGAGATTAATATTTAATCCAGGAAGATTAATTTACAATTAATATCTGTATTCAATTTAAAGATGATCGTATGAAGTTACCAATTAATTTAACAATTTCTGTCGTTTCTATGTAATTTTAAGAAAAATTATCATAAAACACCATAGTAAAATAATTGTTTTACGGAGTAAAATTACTACTTATAATTATTCCTTCGATCTTTTCTAATTGTTCACTGCTGTTGAAAAATGCAATTCGCTGTTTAAGATTCAGACATTTTAGAAATAGATAGGAGGGCATTGCTGTAAAAGTTGTTAAAAGATAAGTAAGACGTTTTATCTATGTGTTAACAACTGCAATTGATAACGAAGAGCAATAAAGCATTGCAAGTATGGCATTATCCTTTGGTAACGACCGATTGCGGATTAAAAATGTAGTGTATATATTTCGTATAAAAATATCAACGGTCACAGGGTATCTATAAAAACAGAATTTTATAAAAATCATCTTCCTACGTTTTTGAGTTATTCGTAAATAGAAATTTGAACAGAGAAAAACATTCTTCTGAACTTTTGAATAAGTGCATAAAACCAATAATTAAATAACAGGTACATTTTACATTGAAATTACAATTCTCTTGATTGATAAGTCTCGTTCGAATAAATTACATTTAACACATTAACCAATAAATCTGTTTAAAGTAAATATAATAAATAAGTATCACGATCTATTTGTAAACATCATATTTTAATAAATCCAGCAATAAGATTTAGTATTCTCACTGTGACGTATGAACATTATAGAATATATCATATCTGAAAACGTGTCAGCACTTTATAAAACGAAGATAAACAAATTAAACGATAAATTTTTCTTAGTAAAGTCAGAAACAAATGCAAAGGAAAAAATTGAGAAACTCATGAATTAAGCAAAAGAAGACCAGAATTTTTAATAAAATTTAAAAATCTGTCATTTGACCATTCATGATAGTCACGATCATAGTTCAGTGTTAAATACTAAAATACAACTTCTTAAAATAAACGATGAACAAAGTTAATTACAAGGACTCCCCAGAAAACAATATCATCAATTAAATTTATAAGTTTATACATTTAATTATAATTATCGATAAACATAAATTAATAAAAGTACTAGAAATCATACATTTGTACGGAATATATTCAAACTCTTACAAGAACGCATTTCCTCGACGTGTTTATGAAATGTTTACTTTATGTCGGTTGGTAAACTGCGGTTTCAGCCGCGTATAAATGGTGCCGACCGATTTCGATCATAAAATCGGGGCTGGCAAAGAACAAATTCAGGCGATTGCGAAACGGCCAATTGTGAAAGAA